GATACTGAACATATGTGAATAGTGTTTAAATTGTCCTGAAATTAGTTAACAAATTAAATATGGTAGACCACATAATCACTACAACGAATTAGATATAATTCGAAGAAATAGGGACTACTTTCACTTTTTCGCAACACTGTAGGCTCTACTTCCCGAATCTATTTAGTTCTCAGAAGAGTTCAAAGAATAATGCAATAGAGTTGTATTAGTATTTATAATTAAGGACTAAAATGAATAATTAGTACTTCGTATTTCTATAATAAAAGTGAGTCTGCACATGCTGCTTATACTAAGAGTTTCTTTATTCTATATATTCATATTAAAGCTTTTGATACTGGGGCATTTTTGATAGGTTGTCTGTATTTCTATCTAAACCATTTTCGTTTCCAGCTCAAAACACATGCATATATGCATATATATATATATATATATATATTACCGGAGCCGTATTTAGTTTAGCCTGTCTATTGTGAGCAATTTAGGGCAGTCAGTGTACTAATCCTTTTAAAAACCGAGAATTCGAACTTAAATTTTTATGTAGAAGTTGTTTGAAATTGTTTTCACAATGTAGTCGATTTTCAGGGAGTCCTAGAGGATCGCATCTTGTCTGGAGTCCATAGTATCCATGATAATTACCAGAGTCGGGCTATGAACTTGACATCGTAGTCGGTATTGTCAGTGAGTGTTGTCAACCTTAGCACCACAATACAACTCGTTAAAGCGACAAGTCAAGTCGATTCTTTGACTAATTTTCTGTTGAACAGTTGTGATATCTCTTCTTTTGTCTTAGGCATTTACCCATCCTATATCCTCGTATCACCCCTTCAATATCACCATTTCTTGCTTGCTTATTTAAATCTAGTTTAGGTCTGTCGTTCTGAGCAGTTTTTGTGAGAACTATTCACACTCTTCTCTGATTCCCTTATCTCCTCCCATAATGTGTTGGGAACTCTAAAAGTAGCAAGGTTAACTGAAAATGCTGATTACGATATCAGCGAAACGTTGAGAATTTATGGAGTTCCTCTTCCGATACTGGAAATTATCATGGATTCTATGGACTTCCGACAAGGTGCGTTTCTCTAGGTCTCCCTGACAATACAATCGATTTGCGAAAAAAGGTCAAGCAACTGCTATACAACGAAAGAAGACCGAGACCATATTAAAGACCATCTTGGTTTTCATGCCTTCGATTGAATTGTTGATTGAGTTTTTATTATTATTTTGTATTTGATTGAAAGTTCTTAAAGGTCCTATCCTTTCTTTCCGACTCCACCTTAATAATCCAAGAATTTTAGAGTATAATTTTAGTTTATTTAAGGATGGTTTGTATAAAAAAGTTGAAGAATAATTTAAATAGGTCAAGATTCATTGAGATGGACCACAATTTGTTCTAAAATGGAAAATTTTCAAAACCATCATACATTAAGATATCCAGACGGCACTAAATTACGAGTGAGGTTTGTGAACCATCGACTCTTGGTTTAACAAAACATTTCTACTTTTATGGAGTAAAACATTTATTGAATGCAGTTGGTTTTATGATTTCTCCCTAATCCCGTTCTTTGGACAGCTACATTATATGTTGCTTTATGTGTTATCACTTTTTTCCATTCTAACAGCGCCATGCTTTTGATGTTTCTTGCCTCACAAAAAATTTCGAGATATTTAGTCCTGGTAATATTTGCATGATTACACTATTTAAGCCTTCTTTACTTTATTTCCTACCTGGGAAGAAACCGGATTAAATATAGCACTAACGACCTAACAAGATTCCTCACTCTGGTACCATTTATATTCTAATGTCTTCAGTTATTAAAATTGCCTTTTTAATTTTCGTCAATAAACGACTTTATGTCACACTGCGACACTTTCTTATGCTTATGAATAAGGCGTTTCATTATTATATATCCTGATTAGTATGTTAACGAAAGGATAACTAGGTGTAGGATTCGGTTTTGCGTATAGTCCACTCAATGCTACTTTATTTTCATTAATTATCATCTACTTCTCGTAGTGATATTTATCATCCCAATCCTATTGTACCTAGTCTGGCTTAATTTTCCTGCTTAATAATGCCTTCTTTTTGAACTTGTCTAGCATATTCTCCATCTGAGTTTGCATGAGCTCTAAAAATAGATGCCGGCCTATATTTATTCTTTTAGTAATAAAATGGTGAAGGAGAAACACTTAAGTATGACTGTGGCTATGCTATCGAGTTGCCTTATCCTACCCTCTTTGTTGTACTAACTTCTGTGTATCCTTATCTTCTCACTTATTATCTCGCGCTATTTCTCTTATATCTGTCATAGGAAAACGAGAGTATAGCTTTGAACTTAGCCCGGCGAGTCTCAACTCGTCGATGGATGCGACATCACTCTTCGTTGCATCCACATCTTCATACGCACCACCATCACCACCACCATCATCACCACTCCCAGCAGCATAGCCGTAGCGGTAGTATCATTCGCCGGACACAGATCGTCTTCAATACAGATTTGCAGGCTTGTCTACAGCCAGGTACCGAGGCTTGCTGTGTGCTTAGTGGATTGAGTAACCTGCTGAGGTCTCCATTGCTTGCTCTAGTGCGAATGCAGACGCCCACTGGCCTATTGCATGACGGCCTCGTAGAAGTAGCAGTGCCCGTTCGTTTCATCTTCCTCTGCCTTGGCCCTACAATGGCCGCCACGACTGAAGTGACGAGTGGGGCGCGCACCAGTTACTACACTGCTATTGCACGGTGTTTTGCGGTGATGGCGAAAAATCTGGTGACGTTTTCAATGCTAACTATTGATCCTTTTGTTGAATACAGGCAAATTAGGAGTACTTGCATTTATGGGTAGGGTTAGTTGGGTAGAAAGTGTTGCGGGCTTTGTCCTATTCTAAATACACAGAATTATAGCACAGAGCCTTGCAGAAATCCTGGGGACTAGACTCACACGTTGCTATGGTGGATAGGAAGCGGAGAACTGGGGAAACGGAGATTGAATTCACTTTTGCCTCGATATGCTAGGCCTCCACATTTTCATATTCGGTTCTATTTAAAAAAAACATTCCTATTTCGGATTATTGTGAATATCAAGGTTTGTGTGTTGCATAAAGCATTACTATTTAGCTGTAGTCAAGTAAGGGAAAATTCGGAATCTTGTCAAATATCAGTAGGGAGTTCGGGCAAGTTGATTGGTAAGTGGTAGAATAAGAGATTTGCTTGTAACTTTAGAAGTTCTGTCGATATAGGGCTAATATTTTAACCTGCCAAACGGAACAGTCTTTAGAATAACATTATATCACCACTTAGAGATTCTAACGAGGAAAAAGTTAAACAGGGTTACTTATGAGATTGACGAAATTATTAAGGAATAGTACCTAATTTCTCTTTGCTGCGGAATTATATGAAAAAATATTAGCGTTTATTTAAGAGATCGTGTGTCTACAATTTTAGCAAATAGGTACATGACTCAAGTGGAGTTTCACTTAATTTAAGAAGCAATTATAAGATGATTTTTAAAGTTAGCAAATAGAACAGATTGTCTGACTTAATTCAAATCCTGTGGACTATTACTTGTGAATGTTTAATACGACTTTGGAAGAGAGAGAGATATCCGAAAGAACCATATTCAAGAGGAGGCTTAATCAACCAGGAATCTGGTGAGGGTCTACATTTCATATTACTTATGAGCATCGCTCCGTACGACACACGTATAAACGAGTAAAAAGAGCGCATGTACGCCCGTTAACAATTTATTTAAACGCAGCCATTCAGCCGAAATCTTATCCACTTGCAAGTCATCCAGAGCCAATTTAATCATCTGTAAGCATGGAGGGGAAGCGCGAAATAATTAATCCAATCATGAAATACCTCATCAATTAGGAACGTTGAGTTTTTGGAGGAAGGTAGGAACGCAGCCGGTCACCCTTCTTGTATTAGTTTTTTGGGGGGTTAAACAAATAATGCTTTCATGGTGACAATGTCTGCCACATGATTGACGGAGGTCCAACATAAATTTGTGATAATTAGAGGATAGTGTGTCAATGACTTCTTCGCACAAAGTGAGAACCACAATCACAAGGCTATCGCAGTGCCAGTTTCTGTTTACTAAGGCGAATTTGCGAATCCTTGTCACCTAACCTTACTCCTGAAATCGAAAGTTCAGTTTTATTAGATTATTAAGGGGTTTTTCGAACCTCCAGCTTTGCTTTTATATTTGGGCAAAATTAATCCGGATGACTAGAGCCTAGCTTTGTTTGCAGGATTTTGTACATCAATGACTACTCTACAAGGGCAGTTTCATTATATCTGGCTCTGTAGGATTGTCTCCGAGCAATCCAAAGCCCGTGATAAAAGTCGGCAAATTATATGCAAATATATGGATAGAACTGTCCAAGGATGCATAAACCAGGACTGCTATTGTGATAGGACTTTATTTGGCGAATATTAAGGAGAACATTGAAAGTTCATATTTTGGAGGAGTTGACTTATTCGGAGGTATTAGTTGTTGCGGGTCTAGAATGCTGTTCTGTATTCATTTCTCAGTAGTCTTTAGAGAGGTTTGGTTCTACCGGATGATGCTATACCTCTAAACATGACAGGCCTGACATGACCTACAGTTGATGCTTGACCTTTGTCACAGCTAAAGCTGTAGGAAGTACGACTTAGTCATTTCAACTTGTATGGTGCACTAAGATCAGTGTCAAAGCAATGTGCTCAAACACAAGACAATTCGTGTAATAGAACAGCTGAAGCAGTAAGCAAAACAGCCTCTCTATGTAGCATAGCAGGCGTATACTTTTGTTTTTTCTGTTTTGATTATTGGCATAGCTCTATAGTATATTATACTTACTTGCATTTGCCGATGAAGGTCAGAGTGCCTAAATGATATGGCTAATGTATGGAAAACAATGCTGTTAATTATTCAGGAGTAGACTTGGATATGAATAAGGATCACCCACAGAGCTCTCCTCTCATTATTCGAAACACTTGAGGCATGTATTTACCAAGCATTTTACATTTAGCTAATGGGAGCAGTTTTTTCTCCTATTTCTACACACTTTAATTTTCTCGGCCAAGTTCTGTCGTGGGTACATCTTGATGGCCCCTATTCACGATACATCTGAGTATATTGTGACCTTGTACTAGCTTAGCTATAACACGATCATAAGGAATGATTTGCTTACTCTGTCTCCCGAATTAAAAGTCGTTTCTTAAATCTCTTAACACGAAAGCTTACATTTTATTATGTAATTTGTAGCAAGTATAGTCCCGAGCAAACTTTTCCAAACTTCAGCAATTCTGGGATCAATCTACTAGCTTTTTACATGATGCTTTTTATGTAAGCTGAATGCATTTCCTAGATTTCAATCTGACATTAGACACCTAACTCGCACAAATTACCTTATACATGATTAATTCTAAATTTAAAATTTAAAATAATAATTAAGGTGTTTTTGAATGTAATTTTGACATAATGTGTTCATCTTCATTACTTTTATTAGAATAATGATTTCTGTGTCTTCAAGTTCTCATAGTCTATTCGTTTTGGCACCCAACTTCCTTAGAAATCAATTCTTTGAACTAGCGAATTGCATCTATATAAAAAAAGGCATTTATTATTAGAAGTCTAGAAGCCTATAGAAGACATCACGACCAGATCCATTCAAATTAAATTAAATAAAAATTCCGAGCATCAGCTCTCTAGATAACATTGAGCTTAATGCATACTAGAAGGCAGCATCTGTTCTCTTATGCACTATGGCCATTATTTATTTTAGTATCTTCTTTTATTATTTTTTCTCAGGTATTTTGTGCAACTGCGTTTGCTGCAACAGATCCAGAAGAATTGATTGAAGCGTCAAATGAGTTTCTTGATGCATCTATTCTGATGCCCATTTCTCGCAATGTGAATCCGCAGAGCTTGGGCGGTATGGTGAATCAGATTCGCGAATTCGAGATGGACATGGAGCTCAGGTCTGAAATGGAAAAGGCAACTATTGCCGCCCAGAGCTGTAGGTATACACAAATTTATAGGCATGATGAGGAAGATAATAATGCGAATTCATGAGGAAACATTTTCCACTCGTTAGCTTAACTCATTTGATCAAACATTTAATTTACCAGTCCACTTCACTATAAAAAAGTCTAATACAGTCTTAATTTTAATAATTGTACTCTAAAATAAGTTTAGCATACAAAATAGTTCACAAGCATTAGCATATTATTACATTATCAATTCTCATTGTTTTAGTTTTAGGCTTAATCCTTTTGGGATGCAAAGTAGAACAGTTTTCATAACCCATTATTTTTCCAAAGCTAATGCAAAATGAAGAGAATGCAAGAATGTGTAGAAGGACACAAAGGAAGGATAAGTAAGAACTATGCAGATTATGGATCTCATAATGGGGTCTCCAAAATTGAGTATAATATGCTTTTCGTACGTTTCATTTCCGTTTTTGCTGTTAACTCTTCGCTTTCTCAACTGAAATTGTATATTGTTAAAATTCCATGCATTTTATTCCCACTATAATGCATTATCAGCTACGTTACTATGTAACCAACGGTGTTATATCATAGCTTTTTTGGGCGCTATTCTGAAGCAATTTAATTATTACTTGCTTAGATGATGTATATTTAGCGAAAAACCTCATGAAAACATACAGGAATGGCATTTTTAACACCATCCTACTTTAAAGATATATTTCCTGATTGATTTAAATCCACAAAGGGACTGCTGGGTAGTGCCTACTACAAACATTTTTAATAAAATCTAGCTCACGTGTTTTTAAAAATTTCAAAGTGGTAAAAGTGAGAAAAAAAATTTATTTGTTTCCGATTAGTACTTTTAGAATATTTTATAAAATATATCAGACGAAAGCACTTTGTTACTTTCCTATTCTCATGAATTGATATATTCTCACTAACTTCCGGGATTACCATTTTCTCCACTACTGGCAGTCCATCACCTAATCTCGAATCCCATTTTGTTCCTCATCTAATATGCATTTATGTACATAGATTTTGGTGTATAGTATATAAAATAATAATGTTACATTTTTACAAATGAATACGTTCCTGATAAAAATGGGCCGTTACAATCCCCGTTCACCAAAGGCCTCAATGACAAGGGTCTTAGCCCTAAAAACAAGCAAACATTTTTATTCTTCAATAGTTTAATTCAGCAAGAGACCTTTATTCTATAACAAAAAGCAAGTGAAGCGACGAGTTGTAATAGTGAAGGAGCGAAATTGGTCGAATATCCTCTTAGGTACTGATTATTAAAGAAACACATCCTAAAAGGGTTAAGAAAGTTTAGTAATATTTTCAGTTCGCGTATCCATACTTTATTTACTCTCTTCTTGATTATTGACAGACGAACGGCGCTCCAGCATGCCTGCCGATGTCAAGCTAGGCCACAGTCTGGCCTCAATCACAGAAGAGAAGAAGTTGACAACCAGCAGACAGAATTCCTCACCTATCTCTACGGGGTTAACATCACCTGTAACAACGGGTGCAGCCGCATCTGCAGGAATCGTTGCTCCCTCTATAAGCCCAACACCAGGAGACCAATTGTTAGCTGCGATGGCACTGCGCAGAATGTCTCGAGCCGGAATTCTGCCACCTTCGGATTTGGTTCTTTCAAGTCTGGAGAACGTGCGTGCCTCAGCAATGCCACTTCCTGGCACTGGAATTTACGGTGGCTTTCCTGTCTCTGGTGTCGGTGAGATTGGACTGGACGGCAGCTCGGTGGCAATTACTGGCTTAGGATTGGCTTCTAGAGGCTCCATCTCGATGCCACCGACTGCAATAGCGCAGATTGATGACAAACTAGATGAGCGTTCACGATTGACAACACGCCAGAAATTTCTGTTTGACTTTTGTCCGCCATGTGTTCAGACCGCTAAAGGTGCCCTGCCCTGGTTACAGCGGTTTCCCAGTGACTTTAAGGACGCTTTCACCAAGGATAATCTGCCTGCTGTACTCACGTGTATCGTATTTCTGTATTTTGTCCTGCTTGCACCTGCTATAACTTTTGGTGCCATACTCAGTAGGTCCTATGCAGGGGGGGCTCATTTTGGCATATTATCTCTTGTCAGCCTTTAAAAACTATTTAATTTTCGGAGTAAATATTGGCGGTTTGAATAGATTAAAAATAAACATTGCCTTCATCTTTTAATTTGGAAAAATTTATGTTAAGATTCATCTTTAACTCATTTCCCTTGGTTTACCCCTTTTCACAACTAAAATGGACTCAGAACAGCATTTATTTTTGAATAAGTTGTCATAATTAGAAACTAACTAATTTGTTGGTCTTATTTTATTACGAATTCATCAAAATATTATGATTTATGTACCATATCGCTGGGCTTATTTATCTCATTACGAAAATTAATGGTAACTGTCGTATTGCTAAAGTCTACCGTTTTAGCATGAAGGAAGACAAATTACGGCCTAAAAAGTCTTAGAAATTCTAAGTCAGTCCATTTAATAACTCATATCCTAATTTTGAAGAATATTTAATTACTAGGCTTACGATTTAAGGAGCATAAACGTCATTTCAAAGCTTGTTTTAATGGTTGGCTACCTAATGAAACATGATTTAATTTTTTTTCTCTAAGAAATATTCATTTTAGATACTTTCAAGATCGAATAGGTTATTAAGAAATAAAAGATCTTGACTGATAATGATCTAGGCTGATGGTTCAACCCCTAAAATGTTATCTTACTATCTTAGGCTGTGGAGTAGTACTACTTGGAAGACTATTGGCTTTTGGTTGAGAGTAGCCATTTTTTCTTTACTTAGAGCTAAGCAGAGAAAGTGAATAAATTGAGTAGAATACAGCTGAGTATGAAGTATATAAAGTTTGAGAAAGAGAAAAATGTGAATATTATAGAGACTTATCTATGATGTTTGTATGAATCATAAGCTGTAGCTTCGAACGTAAGTTTCATGCCTACTAAATAAGAATGAAATGGTTCCGAGCTTTGTGGGCTGTCACCATTTTTTGTTCCACTTATTTTGTAGTTATAAAAAAGGGTTTCCATATATTAGTATTATTGTCGGTTTTAATTGCATTTAATCGTACTGCAAA